AATACTTCTTAAGTACAGTCCTTTTATTTTAATGATTATGTCCTGCTGGAGTGTGACATGATTTTGTGTACAAACTAATACAGTATCAGTTTTATATATTTATACTTCTCATTCAACCACAAATAAATTTACTCTATCTAGGAGGCACAGTTTACATGGATAGTATTTATTTTTTACAAGCTGGAATATAAACAAGCAAAAATTAAATAAAAGTAACAACTTTCTACTTCTTGCCTTTTTTAAAAATGTATTGAGTAGAAAGTACAGATAAATGAGTGAAAATGTAAGAAGTAGAAGTAAAAAGTAGGCTGAAAAATAATTACTCAAGTAAAGTACAGATACCCAAAAGTTCTACTTAAGTACAGTAAAGAAGTATTTGTACTTAGTTACTTCACAACTCTGCCATTTGGTAAACCCTCACCAGCTCTGTTGAACCTGGTTCTAATGTGAAGCCTATTTCACATGCTCACCCTCGGATCTATTCTGCAATAATTACAGCTGCTTTAAGGATACAGTTTTCGTCTCCTCCTTTGTTTTTTGGTGGTCCTGGCATATTGAGCAGGACCAGATGAGCCCCCTGGGACTTGTTGACCACCACCTCGTTCAGCTTGACAGCTGTGTGCATGCGGCGAACATTCGACTGGTTCCTGGTTTGACAATACATTTACAGTGAGAGAGGTGACAGCGAAAGAGAAACAGAGAAAACAGTCAGTATAAAAATAATCCACATTTTACTGAAGAATAAAGAGACATCTAGATAAAGACTGTTTGTCAGTGCACAAAACAAAAACAAAACAAAACATAAAAAACAGCAAAGTAAAAACAGCAAAGTTGGGGAAATGAAGCAGTTTATCTTTTAAATATAAAAAGGCAGCATTTAAAGACRAAGTGTGAAAACTCAAACCTGCTGTCTGAACTTTTTTTTGCAATACAGTTTGCTACAGTCTGAAAAACCAACATTAACCATCAGTTCCAGAATAAACTCTCTCCTGTCTCCTTAAATGATGCCCATTTATGTTCATTTTTAAGCCACAACAAGATACAGAAAACCATTCTGTTTGTTTTGCTGATCACAAAATAAAATAAAATAAAATAAAAAAACAGGTACGCTTTATCACAAGAAAACAACAGTCAGATCTTATTCATGCAGGTTTGCTTTTCCAGCCAGCATGCTGTCTGAAGCAGGATGATGCCGTCCATGCAGACAAGGACAGCACAGACAAACACAGAAGCAGACGAGGAGCTGGAGGACAGTGAAAGACGCTAACGGTCGACACACACACAGAGGGTCCAGGGCAAAAACGAAAGCGACTTACAGATTCTCCCACTCTCTAGAAGGAGGAAAATGGGACAGAACAACAAAAACAGGCTTAGATGCTTCTACGTCAGTTCTGCAGCTTGCTCCACAACACCCTTGCTGTGATACCCAGAGGTCCCAAGAATAACATGACATGGAGCTGTTTGATGTGTGTGGTCAGAACTGATTGATTTTTTTTTTTTTGTGCCATTACACAGTGATCCAACTTACAATTCAGTTAAACTTTATGTCCTGAACTGATCTCAAGCATCAAATGTGAGTCCCAATTGAGGCATTTTTTCATTGTCATTGATATCAGACTAGCTGATCTTACTCTGTGCCCAGTCTCTGTTGCTGACCCGGTCTGTTCTGACTGGTTTATTGCAGAATGATGGGTTGGACCTGGTCAACACATCTGCAGTATAGAAGTACAGGGTGAGTCAAAAGTCACAGGACACCCTTTTTATTTTGATCCAATACAGCAGCCGTGTTCTGGACATAGCCTCGACGACACCCCATTACTCAGACATGTATTTAGACTCTGGACAGTACGGACTGACACGGTGTTAGTGTACACAATGGGCACACAGTTTAGCCATGCACTAAAAATGGCTGACATTTTCCAAACATGCGCACATGTCAACAGACTGAATGCACACGCCATGCGCTCACAGCTTCACATACGGTGGAGTTGGCACCATCCTCAAGTCAAGTCACTTAGGCCCTTTTAAACTCGTTTTTTCCCCCTTTCCACCCCAAAAGTTCACAAATTATGATGTAACTACATTTTTCCACTAATATATTTCTTAGCAAAAATTTATTGCAAATTTTCAACAGAACTAGAAGGAAATTGTGTTTGAGTTCAACAGAAAAGTCAATTTTTTATTAAGGTTAATCGCTTAAAGATCTATTTATTAATCTTTAAAAAAACTGCTTCCATTTAAGCTTGTTTCCTCTCTGGTTTTGAAATGACTCTTCATTTTATTGAGTTGTCACATTTTCTTAAAGTTTCAGGTAATCATGTGCAGCGGGAAAAAAAATAGAAAGTAGCTGTTTTCCTGGGTCATTTAAATCACCTGAATACAGTTCTGCTTTAAAGTTAGCATTTAGTCTTTTTTGAACTGAGCCCTATTTAAACGTGCCTCATCACAGACAGGAAGCTGGTGACCATCAATATGAGCCAAGCTGTACAGGGCTTCTTGTAAAGCTTGTGGACTCAGGATGGTGCTAATGTATCTCCCACGACACACCAAACAACACCATGTCACACCACAGAGGTTTTCCACCCAAGTACAATCCCGTGAATTCTTTGGACTGTAAAAGTACACAGGGAGTTTGTCGGCTGACGTTCCGACGAGCACGCTTACGGTTTCATGCTGAAGAGGTCGCGGACCGCCACACTGGCGTTGGCCTCTCGGGTGCGGTTGCGCTCGGTGAGGAGCTTGTCTTTAGTCCAGGTCATGTGCACCTGATCGAGCGTGGTGTCAGCCTTGTCATTTACAGCGGCATGAGAGGCCGTGTTCCTGTCATGGATGAGCTGAGCCTGGAAAGAATGAGGATCACCTGGTTACCAGTGAAGAAACACTACAAATGAAACAAGACCAAAAG